GGCTGGGGATTCGAACCCGCCACCTTAGGTGTATGTAGCTGGCGCCTTAGCTGCTTGAGTCACAGGCACTGAGCCTCATGCTTGTTTTTAATTTTTTTAATTTGCTCAGGTATATAATAAAGATTGGTGAAGAATGATTTTCAGTTCTCACAGAGGGCAAAGTAGGAAGAAATGGATTAGGTAGCAGTTTATAAGTCAAAAGATACTGTTATACGTTAATATATTGTTAAACCTTCAGTGAGTCCTTCTTGGCTAATAGTCATCTTGGAATGTATATAAGGGCATTTTAGTTCAATATGTATAATGATTTTTCCCATTATTCTTCCCTAGGACCTGATTGATGAGTGGATAGCCAAAGAGGCCAAAAGGTCCAACTCCAATAAAACCATGGATCCAAGCTGCTTAAAATGGACCCCTCCCAAGGGCACTTAAAGTGACCTATCTTTCCGAGCCAGTGAGCCCCAGCAGTAGGAATCCGTACCCTAGGGATCTGTCTGTCATTTCTGTTGCTCTTGTGATTGGCAAGTACAGTATCCTTTGGGAAGGCCATCCCCCTCAGGACTGTCCTGGCTCCGACCTTCCTGTACACTGCAGACGCTGGTTCTGAGGAACTGTTGTTTCGGCCTCAGTGAGGTTGCCTGGTTGGGATCTGTATTAGACTTGAGTGCAGCTCTCTCAGCACTGACCCAAGGAGTTCTGTTATGGTACTGTACCTGTCCAGTCACTGGTTCTCTCCTCATGTTCTCTCGCCCCATGAGGTTGTATTGTGTCTTCTAAACTTGGTACTAGTGCTTCTTGCCACCCAGTCACCAGACCTCCAGATAATGGCTGCCACCACCAGGACCTTTCCAATTACTCCTTACACGTGTTCTGTGGAGGGGCAGGGAAGAGGTAGCACCTGTGAGTGTGTGTACTGGGAGGGGATCCATTCACTTTGGATTTCATCTTGCTTTACATTTTTTCCCTACCTTTTTATTGAAAGACCTGTTTTTGATCAGTGTTGGGCTGACCAGAGCCAAATACTTTTGAAGAGTTTCCCAGGGATTAGTCCCAGTAACAGCACATAACCCATCTGTATGAGATGGAGAGAAGAATCAAGAGGTGGTGGTTCTCTATTTTGATTTGAATTTACCTGTGGACAGTATCTTGGTAGAAGGGAATGGATACTTCTTTTTGCCTCACCAGAAAGTGCCCAGTAGTAAATGTTTTCTCCTCCCTGCTCCCTGCCCCCTTTTACGTATGCAGGTGCCAAAATAATTTCCAGTTCTCCCTTTCATGCTACCTGTTAACTGGCTAATTATACTGCGAAAGCCTTTCCCTCTATATCACTCTGATAAAGTACACCTGCACTTCCATATAAATTGCACTGATTTTGTCCGAACGCTCTGGGATAAGTTGAAAATGATTGAGTGACTTCCATATCTCAACCCATGACTCAGCGAGGCAGAATGGCCACCCCTGCCAAGGTTTGCTTCTCTTTTCAACAGTGCCTCACCCTCCCTCTAGTACTAAAATGCTTCTGCCCCTCCACAAACTCCTCCATTGCTCTTTTGGGACTTGCTACCATCCTTGTATTCTCTGGTCTCCTATTTTTGGTGTTGTTCAAGTGAAGGAAGAGATGTTCCCTCTAATTTCTCTCTAGCCTGTTATAACCTGCTATCTTGGGGCAGCTTTTGATGTATGACTTGTCACCCTTCCCAACTTGGTCTCTGACAACACGCTGTCTTCATGTGGAGCCCTCACCACAATCCCGACTCTGGTCATTTGTGCCTTTCTCTTGTCATCTCTGTACACTACTTATATTCACTGTGGGTTGGGGGGAGCTAATTTTAAGCATGTTCAGTGGCAGCTTCCCCCCCAGTTTCAGTGTCACTGTTGAAATTTATCCAAAAGCAACTTTACTGGGGGTTTTCTTAAGGGGTAAAGGCCTTTTACAGAAGCTAAACCCTTCCCCACATGTGGTAGAATGTGCTCTTCTATATCTACTCTTCAATAAAGCATGTTCTCTGCTCAAGCGTGTTTCATCTGGGGTCTCATTTACATACGAAAATGATATAGAGGACCTGCTACTAATAGTAAATGCACTTAGGATTTGCTTTCCCTAGCAATGCTGTTGAGGGATGTGGTTTGTGGCTATGGAATTTTTTTCCCCTATGATGCAGGCCATCTGTAGAGGGAGTGCTTACTCTGAACTTGGTTGGTTGGCAGGACAAATTTGATCACCTCACTTTGGTTCCAACTAATAGTTATGCATAGCAGCAACTAGTCAGTGTTCCCTCCCCCCTTTTTTTTTAAGAGACAGAGTCACACTTTGTCACCCTTGGTAGAGTGCTGTGGCATCACAGCTCACAGCAACCTCCAGCTCTTGGGCTTAGGCGATTCTCTTGCCTTAGTTTCCCAAGTAGCTGGGACCACAGGCCCCCACCAAAACGCCTGGCTATTTATTTTGTGGTTTGGCTGGGGCCAGGTTTGAACCCACCACCCTTGGTATATGGGGCCAGTGCCCTACTCACTGAGCCACAGGCATCGCCTTATCCCTTTTATTAAGTTCATTTTCCTCTGATTTTAGAGGCAAAGGAACTGGTAGAAAGTGAGGCTAGGTCGGGGTACAGTTGCTACTTCTGTGAGGTGGGAACAGATTTATCTCTAAGCTCATTCAGCTGTATTGAGCAGTGTCTCCTCTAATCATTGACTCTTTTCCAGGTTGAAATGATGGCTTCTGGCTTGGCACCTGTGGCTCAAGTGGCTAAGGCACCAGCCACGTACACCCAAGGTGGCGGGTTCGAATCCAGCCTGGGCCCGCCAAAC